GAAGACGGAATTGCGAGACTCAGCTTTATCCAGAGATCGATGCCAATTAATATCACGTTTTTTAACGTTAGCGCCATATCAAATGTGTGCCATACATATCGATTTTCGATCATGACTGGCAGATCACGCGATCGTCTGTGAGTTGAATTTTCACCATTTTCCCGATCACGGTAAATCGTAATTCCTCGATAATGTGTACAATATCGCCAGTGATAAAGGATATCTTGCATTCGGTATCGATTAGAGCTTCGAATTTTCTGACTCGAACGTGCATGAATTCAATGTGTGGCCGGGGCGTAAATCTTACGTTGATGATCGGGGGAAGGGGGGGAACGTTTCCCCCCTCGGTTAGCTTTTCGTTTCCCAATGGCGGGTGACAATTTTTCGTCAAGACCCCGTTTTTGCCGCACTACAAACAGAACTTCTATTAATTATAAGGCAGGCGCTTGCATTCAAATTGAGTGTTCCCCCTCTGCTTGCAGCACCAACAACAATCATCACAGTTGTAAGTCGCAGTGGTAACAGGGGTTTCACGCGCGGTTTTCTTTACTTTTCCCTCAGCCTTTTCGAGGGCTGTGAGATGTTCGCAGGTCGCGGCTTCGCGGCTCAATTCCTGTATAGTGCGTACATCGGCGCGTCGGATACGTCATTGATACGAGTAATGCAGGTTTCGGTACTGGTATTCTAATTGTCGCTGTCCCGTTGTAATTCCGGCGCGGTTTTGTAAGAGCAATTAAGGACGTCGAATATTTAAGTTTTTCCCCAGTTTCTATTTGCGTGCGTGAATATCCTCTACACAAAGAGAAAATGTTACTTTTGACATTTTTTACATGTCCCAGGAGATCCACTCTAAATTTTAAGTTAAAGTAACTCATTCGTCTTGTGTTATTTATTAACGAACTAATAATGTTAAATAATTGACACAATACTTTTACATTTATATTTGTTATTTTGACTTTAAGGGTGATTTAAATCTAACATACACATATAAAATAAGTTGAGTACATAGAAGAGTAGTTGCAGTAACTTGTAAGAAAATGTTAATTGAAAATTGTTAATAAAACATTTTTGTTCGTATAATGTGAATGAAAAAATTCTTAGATATTAAATTGGCTTTGAGATATATAAATTAATTGAAACAATTGTGTAAAAAACACTCAAATTAATATTCCGTTTTGAATGGACATACGCAATTGTTAAGTTAGGAAGGTGACATGAATCTAACACATCAAAATGTTACAAAAATAATAACACATCAGTTGTATGTTTATTTTACACTGAAGTAATAATCGAAATGTGGTAACACAAGAAAAATTCTACATATGGACTATCCTCGAAAAGAGACAGAGTCCGCATTGGCCGATGTTCTTGATTGAGTTTCGACCAGTGGGTGCTGGGACTGTCCTCAAAACAAGACGAAGTCTGTATTGGTCGACGTCTTTGATTGCGTTTCGACCAGTAGGTGTTGGGATTGTCCTCGAAAGAAGACAGAGATAATAAATGTTCGTATCAATCGAAAAAATACATTTTCTGCATTTATGCAATTGAAATTTCTAATAATTTTGGTGGCAGTCCTTTAACGAATTGGATAAGCTATCGAATCTGAAAAACTTAAAATTCATAGGATATCTCATTTTAGAGAACGAAACTGTAGAGACTGTTCGACAATTGATAATTGCAAGAATAGCGAAATTAAAGATCTTAAATGGTACAGAGATACTTTATAATGAAAAGAGAGGTGCCGAGTATGATTACTCAAAATTGCATTTATTGATTGTAATTAATTGATCGAGTTTCGACTAGTGGGTACTGGGACTGTTTTTGAAAAAAAGACAGAATCCGCATTGATCGACGTTCTTGATTGAATTTCTATGGTATTACAATAGATTATTCTTACGACTTTAAAATTGCTTTTTGATTCCCTCTAATACAATAGTAAGCGAATAATATTGAATTTCTTGAATATGTAATAAGTACTTTTTTATTTGAGGAAATATTTTTCGTAAAAATAAGTTCTTTACAGTTTTTCTAACTTAAACACTAAGTATAAGAAGACCATGTCGGTTCGAATAAAAAATCTTATTATTGGTTTCTAACTTAATATAGTTTTTCTGATTTATAGCAAATTTTATTGAATTTCGACTTTGTTGATTTGCACACTGTCTCCCGCGCTGACTCCTATAACCATTATTTTGTTATTCGTTGTTTTTAGTTTAATTTAGGGAGGATTAGTAGCGTTTCAAATTGATTGTGTTAAAAGTCCGAAAGTTATCGGCGCTCAATCTTATCTAAAATAAAAAAGTTTATTTAAAAAGAATATATATTGCATTATATCGAAACATCTAAAGTCAGCGGCACATGATGCTTGTTTTCCTGCTGGATTACTAGTTAGATTAAAATTTTGCCATCGTATTGGCTGCGGTGCTATCAGTGCCAACATCGCAGTCAATACGGTAGCAAGATTCTAATCCAGCTGGCAATCCAGCAGGAAAACAAGCATCATGTGTCGCCGACTTAATTTTGACCGTGATAGGCTGGCATTCTTCTTCGTATTTGATATATTCATATATACGGTCTAAAGTCTTAATAGTGCTTTTTTATTTGCTACTCGTTTATTAAGTTAATAACATTTCTTATTTCATACAATTTATGGCAATATTTTTCACAAAAATTTTCCATTATAATAGAATATCATGGTCATTATAAGCGGATGTAGAATTATATAACTCTCATAGGTGATAATTTTACAATTATCGCTACTCGTAATTAAATAAAATCTTAAACAAAAATGTTGATGATGGCGGATTGACAAATGACGTTGGCAATCAAGATATGTATCGTCATATATTTAAGGAGTATCGATACTTAGAAAAGTATCTTCGGATTCTTTTAAACCTCTGCAGTAGTAAGTACGATTGCGCGCGCGCCGTTTTATATTTTACCTATATCTTCGATAACATCGCTCTTTGGTTTATTCGTAATTATACTTTTTATAAACTTATCAGTCTTAATAATTTCAGCAGACCATTCAGACACTTTGAGAAGCTTGTTAATTTCATTATTATTTTATTATTTATTATTTCTTCCTCTTGAGATTCTTACTATTGTTGTTGACTCGCCTCGCACTTCATTTCCTCTTGGATATTACTATTAATATCAATTTCGATAAATTCATGTACTTCACTCGACGCAGATATAAAAGAATAACCAGGATCCCTATTTTTTAATAATAAATGTTTACTGGTTTCGTGAATCATTGTTCGCTTCCGCCTTTTTTCTGAATCTACCGTACTTTCATCATGTACTTCATTATTCTTTACCATAAAAAAGTTTGTTATTTTCTGCAATTATTTTTTTCTTTTTCTAGAATTTTTTATTTTTTTCGTTTTTCTGAACCAGAAGCGTG